AAAACTAAACAGAGAAACCCTGTCTTGAAAAACCAAAAAAAAAAAAAGAAAAGAAAAAAAGTTCCTGATAGGAATTCCAGCCATGCCCCCATGGTCACACATGCCCAGGCAGGACACTTAATCATTTCCGGGTCATACGTCCTACACAACCCATGCCCTGCATGGTCATGTAATCACGAGCCGCGTGACCACGTGATCTATGTGCATGAGTGGAGTAGCCACGTGGGCCTGTATGTGCATGCTTGGGGTGGCCCAAAAAGTCAGGGCCCCATGTACCCTCTCCCCTTCCCCCACGTGTCCTTTCAGCAGGCCTGATCACATCGGTCCCTTTCTCCTTGTCTTAAAAAAACTCTTGTTAGTGGATTCTGTCGTGTTTCGTGACTTTTCCTCGAAGGGTTAGAGCGCCGCTAAAAACTGTCAATTCCTAAGAAAGAAAGTCCCTGTGCACACAGGAGAGCCTCTGCACCTGCCAGATGTGCTCAGCCAGGATGAGTTTTCAGAACATCAACACCGGGTTTTGTCATCATCTTGAGACAAGAGGACTCAACCTGGTTCTTCATCTGACCTCTTCCCAGGGAGCTTTGTTTTCTCTCTCTTCTTTTCTCTTTTTCTTCTGCTTTTACTCGTGTTTGCTTCTTTTATCCGGTAAGTACGAGACAAAACAACAAAAGCAGACAAGAAAAAGAAATCCCTCCCGTGTGCAAAGCAGCATTCTGTCTTTGTGATGTCTTGTTTCCCGTTGACCTCTACGCTCTGCACCGTGTTGGAGAAAGTGACCAAAGTGTTCCTAAAAGAAATAATTCTCTTCCTAAGAGAAATTATGGTGCCAACTGTTAAAATCTTCAACATTTAACCCCATTACACATTCGATTTTTCCAGTTCCCCTTGTCTTGCTCCTGTAGATGGAGTTTGCGCTAAAGAGAACCCTCCAGCCGGGCGGTGGTGGCGCACGCCTTTAATCCCAGCACTCGGGAGGCAGAGCCAGGCGGATCTCTGTGAGTTCGAGGCCAGCCTGGGCTACCAAGTGAGTCCCAGGAAAGGCGCAAAGCTGCACAGAGAAACCCTGTCTCGAAAAACCAAAAAAAAAAAAAAAAAAAAAAAGAGAACCCTCCAGCTGCACTCCCACCCTCCACGGTGGTGGCTGTTTTATTTCTCAGAGATCAGTACCTTGTCTTTCTTCCTCCCATCTCCCCTCCCCCTCCTCTGAGATAGTGAGAGAGATATTAAACTCACTTTGTCAGAAGAGTCACTTTAAAATCTGATGTCCTTTAAACTGCTCCCTGGAAGCAACTAACACTCATTACTCTTTAATGGTTTCTTGTCCAGTGTAATGTGGGTTTTATATTCACATGCATCCTCTTATTTAATTATCCCCCTAGCCATATGAAAGGTATAATTGTTCCCATTGTGATAGATGTAGGAATGCAAGATCAGAGGAATGAAATAATGTATCCAAGATAAGGCAGCGAATTCAAGACAGTAGGGATTAGAAGCTATTTTCCATGGTTTGAAAGTAGGTTAGTGTGATTCCTTCCTATTTTCTACAACTTAAGCTTCTCAAGGGTTTTTTTCCCCCTCTGTCTTTGTTTTGGCTAAAAGATTTACAACTAGATTTTTGTGAAAAGTTTACCCATATAGAATCTCTCATGATACTATTGAAATTTTTCTTTCAACAAGCATGCCTTGTTAATTAACCCTTATGCATTTGTGTTCATGGAAACCACCTTGCCAGTTTCCCCAGCTTGCTTAGTTCAAACTCAGAGTCATCCATTTAAAAGTCCAAATCTATTCTCTGTGTGCCCTTGCATACTATGGAAGAGAAATTGAACCCCATCCCCTCTCTCTTTCCTCTTCTCCCTTCCACACCCATGTTTTGTGTATTATAATTTAATTTTAAGGCATTGTCTTATGTAATTATGGTGCTGACAAGCCCAAACTGTAGTACATACTGGCAGGCTGGATACCCAGAGAACAGGTGTGGCTTGTTGAGGATACTTTGGAAGCATAATTCCATCTTCCTTGGGGGACACATTAGTCTGTTGTTTCTTAATGTGTTGAACTGATGAGAGTCTTGTCTCATGATACAGGGTAATCTGCCTCACTCATAATCTACTGATATAAATGTTAATCCCATCACAAAATTATCTTCACAGAGCATCTAAAATTGTATTTGATGAAATTTCTGGAAATGGTAATCTAACCTTATTGCTGCATACATTTAACATCATAGCTGCTTACTGTTGAGGGACTTCCATTTCTGAGACATCCATCTGTGTGTGCTGACAAATACCTGCAAGTGTACACATTAGACTCTTCCTGGAGAGGATCTATTGGACCTCTTTGTGAGGGAAGGAAGGTGGAAACACGAGACAATTGTATTGTGAGTAGCATTGCTCTGTATTGGTCAAATGTCTTCAGAAAGAATTGTAATCCCCATTACTTATTTTTTTTCAAATTAGTTTCTAAACAAAATAACCCCAGTGTTTGGCTACAGTGAAATGGAACGACCAAGCTTGCTCAGAGCTCTGTTGTGCCACATACCTTATCTCCCCCCATTTTCCCTCATCACGTTTCTCTCAAATCATGTCACATTTGGTGAAATAATGCACCCAATGTTGCATTATTATGATAATTAAAAAATTCAAAGAAAAGCAACAAAGAATGCTAATTGCATTTCCTTTCTTTTTCAACTTGGTCCTTCTAAAATTTGCTTATTTTATTTTGACCTTTGTTTTCTATATTCTTATTAACACATTTTCAAGCTGTTTGATAGAGCTCTAAGCCTCTCTCTCTCTCTCTCTCTCTCTCTCTCTCTGTGTGTGTGTGTGTGTGTGTGTGTGTGCATGTTCATGTGTGATGCACAGCATGTATATAGGTGTATATGCACATCCATGTATGTACCACTCTCTCGCTGAACCCGGAGCTCATCCATTCAGCTAGGTTGGCTGGCCAATGAACTCCAGGGATCAGCCTGTCTCAGCACCACTCTCTCCCCCAGCATCTGGGTTACAAATAACTGTCAGTCATGTGCCTGCTGCACAAGCATGAGGACTGAAGTTTGTGAGTTTTTATCTAGCACTCACAAATACAGTATCTTCTCTTTAAAATGTGCTCTTTGCCTTGTTACATTGCCTCTGATCTCCCTACAATTTTTATTTTTCCATTTCAGGAAACTAGAAAGGAGCCATTGGTGGAGAGAGGAAAGAAAGACCTTAAGCGGAGGATGGTAGAACCTAGATGATGTGAAGGAGAAAGGGGGATAGTGGGAGGGCTTAACTAGGGGAGCAGAAGGGAGGGTAAGGCAAAGGTGTGGAGTGGAGAAAAAGATAACTAACATTAGTGATGCTTGAAAAGGCCATATGTAAGCCTACTCCTTCCATAAGAGGCATTAACATCTCTGTAGACGAAGCAAACACCTGAGTTGAGCCTTGGAAGATGGGAAAGGTTTACCAAAACTTTATAGAGATCAACTGCAGTTTCTCTGCACACAGAATTGTCATGGGTTGTTTGAGCCATGCCCTGAAGCACCACCCATAGTAAGATAGCAGGTAGCTGTTACACATGCCTATGACCTTGAGGTACATGCCCCTGGGGCGTGGCCACCAGGGACCCTTAAGACCTAGGATGCACATACAAGGTCTCTCTTGTCTCTCTTAGCTTTGTTACCTTGTGGTTTTGGATGCTGGTACCAACCAGGGCAGAGCTCGCCAGAGAACTGCGTTGGACAGTGCCTCACCCTTCCAGGATCCTGTGAAATTATATTCCTTCGAAACCTTTTCAAACTAATCACATCTTCCCCATGTTAAAAACAACCTTAGATGCTCTACAGTGGATAAACAGTAGAACAAACTGTGGTGCATCTATATGGTTCATGTGATGGAATGGCATCACTACCTCATAGAGAGAAGGAATGAACTATGGGTATGCGCAATAACCCAAATATCTCTCCCAGGAATTATGCTGGGAGTAAACATAACTAAACCCCAGGATTATATCTAAACCACTCTGTCTATACAATGCTCTTGAAGTTCTGAAATTATAGTAATAGTGAACAACTAGTGGTCATTGAATATCACATAGCTGGTGGGATGTGTGAGAACTGATTGAAGCTTTAAGAAGGGCAACCTGAGGGATGGTTGTGAGGCTGAATGTCTGTATCTTATCCTCTGCCAATCCCCTAGTGGTGATGCTGCACTATAATTTTGTAAGATGCTACTTTTGAAAGAAAGTGTGTGTGGTATTTACAGAATCTATTTTCTTATAAATGCAGGCAAATACATAATAAGCTCTTGAAAGCGAAGGGTTTGATTGAAAAACAAAATCCTGTTGAACAAAGCATATAAATTGGATGCAGAAATGTGTCAGCCCTTTTGCTAGTGAGCGTGAGTGCAGTGCAGTGCGAAGCTATGCTGCTGGACCAACCTCCTCGATCAAAGACCTCACTGTGCTCCATGTTTATGTACTCTTCCTTACAGCTTTGACCAAAGAGAATTTACTCACTTGGATATATGATGATTTGGTGTCAGTTTTCAATATTCCAAATATTAAGTTAGTGGCCTGTACTAATTGTAGATAATTTACCTTTGATGCCAAATCTCCAACAACTCTCTTTTTTTGTAGGTTCTGAGATTAAGTATGTTGCCTATTTACTTGAGAAATATTTTACAGAACTAAGCACCTGGAAAATTGTATAAGATATAAGGATCTTGAAGATATAGCCAACTATAGAAATAAAAAGAGAAATAGGTCTATTGGTTTTAGAACATTCTTCTTCTTTTTTTTTTTTTTTTTTTTTGGTTTTTCGAGACAGGGTTTCTCCATGTAGCTTTGCGCCTTTCCTGGATCTCGCTCTGTAGACCAGGCTGGCCTCGAACTCACAGAGATCCGCCTGCCTCTGCCTCCCGAGTGCTGGGATTAAAGGCATGCGCCACCACCGCCCGGCTAGAACATTCTTCTTAATGAGATTAGAAAAACAAAAACAAACAAACAAAAACCAGGTACACTATGCATTTCTTCTTTCTTCAGGAGTTAAGAAGCAGTGTCTGTCAGTCACCTAGTTGGAACTGAATATCTCCTCAGAGAATTATGCTGTGGGTGAAAAGAGTAACCCCAAAGGCCACTAAACACTAAATAACTCCATCTCTACAATGCTCTTGAAATGATAAAATCACGATAATGATGAACATGTTCATAGATGATCAGGGCTTTTATGAACTCTCTCTTGCCCTACAATCCCAAGAGCTAAAACTGGTAAATTGGTTTTTTTTTTTCTTTCTTCTCTCCAAACCTACTTGCCAGCTTTCCATGCTTTCTAGGTCTCCTCTGGGACTTTTCACAATGTTCATATCCTAAAGCTTATATGACGATGACAAGAAATGCCTAAATCATAAATCAAAAATAATTCATATAATTAAACATTTCTATTTCATGAATGAAAAATGCACAAAGGTCTCCAATGACTCTCATCTCACCAATATCAGTAGTTTGCTGTGGCTGTGGAAGAGGCCTTTGGAAGATCTGGGCTCAAGTCTTTTGTGAATGACCAACTGCATCCATCTTGATCACATTTCTGCACCATTGAACACCTCCTTGTATACTCTCACTGCTTCTTCCAGCTCATGACAGACCCTGCCTTTTTTGCTTATTAGCATCATTATTTCATATTTCTTTATTTTATGTGTATGAGTGTTTTGCCTGTATGTATGTGCACCACATGTGTACCTTGTGTCCTTGAGGTCAGAAGAGAATGTTGGGTCCCCTGGAACTGACATGGCCCAAGGTTGTGAGCTGCCATTTGGGTGTGGGGAACTAAACCCAGGTTCTGAGAAAGCAGCATGTGCTTTTAGCCACTGGGCCATCTTTCCAGACCTGTTTACGATGTATTTTGACTGTTTCTACCACACACCCTCTTCCAACTCCCCCTGCACCTTTCCACTCCCAAACAGGCCTCCCTCCTCACTCCACGATCTCTTTTTAACTCACTGAGTCCAATTCTGTTTTTAGTCACCTGCTTGCTAACTAGAGCTGTCCCAGTGAACTTTCCTTCCCCGTTCTAAGCATTTCAGATGGGAACTAGAGGTCATGAACATCTTGAATCTCCACATAAGAATGTGCCTCTCTGCCTGGCTCTGTATGGCACCTCAAAGCTGATGGTAAAATAGTTTTGAATTTCCATCACTTGATTTTTATGGCATTTACAAATAATTTTTCCCTTTGAACTATGGAATGTCTTTACTTTGTTAATGCTATTTGTTTTATGTATATGAGGGTTTTGCCTGCATGTCTGTGCACCACATGCATGCCTGGTACCAGCAGAGGCCAGAAGAGGGCATCAGGTCCCCTGGAACTGGAGTTACTGAGGGTTGTGAGCTGCTTGCTGTGTAGGTGCTGGGAACTGAACCCAGGTCCTCTGCAAGAACAGCAAGTGCTCTTAGATGTTCAGCCACCTCTCCAGACCCATGAATTTCTTTTTATATAGAAAAAGTGAAGTTTCAATCTTTGTCATTTTGTAATAAATGTACACTTACATAAAATGCTTCATATGTTTCTTCCTATGGGAAATTGCCAGGGAGGGTTTTTTTTTTTAATAATTTAAAACTCAAACAGGTGGCAGTTTCTTTTAATCATGTGAAATATTCTAGATTTAAATTCATTTAGTTTTGAATACATAATGCATGCATATGATTTAAGCTATAGTATATGTCTCCTTTCATCCTTGACTTCCAATGAATTTAGTTCTCTCCTGTGTAAGGAGTCTTTCCTGCTACTGTACACATGTAATACAATACATATGCTTTATAGAAGTGGTAAAATATGAAAGTCATCATTTCATATAATTGCTTTCCCTCTGTTAACTAAGTACAATAGAGATGGTTCTGTAGTAATCATAAAGACTGACTTCATGCTTTACTTTAAGAATGTAAAGTGCCATACTTTATGTAAAGAGTCTACTTACCTACACTGAGGCTATTCAATGATCTTGTATTCATATCTGTAGATGCACAGGCAAACATTCCTCTAGATTCTACATTGTTGCATAAGTCCTTAGAAATGTATCTATATTTGTAAAAATAAGGCATTTGTTATATCAATTGTGGAATTCTCATATCTAGCAAATGGTTTTAAATAATGCCTTAATTTTAATTGGCAAGGCCCTATGCATTTTATGAGTTAGATTTTAAGATCTGGAAATTATATGCACCTGCATTTTTTGTTGTTGTTTTTTACTTTCTTCTTTTCTTGCTGTTTTCTTTTTCATTTCTCTCCTGTGTTCTTCTACCTTTCTTTCTTCCTCCCTCCTCTTCCTCTAGCTCACGTTCCTATTAAAGATCAGATTGGGAGCGGTGTAGCCACTAGATGGTGGTACAAGCACACAGGGAAAACTAGTTTGTAAACAGATTAGGCGCTAGTTTTCATTTCCTGCTTAGTTTTTAAATTGCTATCCACCGGGGCCCTTAAATGCCTCCTAAGGGACATCACTGTGATCGCTGTTTAGTAGTTGAGCCAACATAACACTGATGTTGAGCTTTTCGGCAGCTGCTGTGGCCCACTTTATGTTGATGGTGAGACTTTTTAAAAACGCTCATTGCTTGCCTACAATAACTCCTCAGTGGGAATCTGGTAAGTTTCCTGAGTGATTTGAAGGGCTTGCTTATATTCTTGACTGATTTACAGGTCCTACAATGTTGCATTTGAGACTACTTAGAATTTATAATCCTGCTTTATTTAGTTGACTGAATTTCAGTGAAGAAATGGCAGTTCTGTAGCTAGTTCCTAAAATGACAGAAGGCAGCTATTTGCTATGGTTTGCCCCATCAGTTGCAATTCAGAGATTTATACAAACATGCTTCATCCATCACTTCAAGGTCTAAAATGTAGTTTTCAATATCTTGGAATTTATTATAGAAGTATTTTTCTGCATGCAAATTGCCTTAATTTTTTAGAGGTGTCTGTTTTCTCTATGAGAATCTATGCTGTGAAAGTTTGTATTGGTAAATTCTTCTCAAATCACAGAAGAAAGGCATCTAACAGTATTGAAGGGTCTTTGCTTATATTAGAGCTACATGATAAAGATAGCATTTATACTCTTGAAAACCAGCTCAATGCATTTAGCAGAGGACAGTGTTATCAGCACCACCACCCCTCCAACACACACAGTAAATGTTCTGTGCAGAGGTGGCACACATTCATTCTCCTGTTTGGCAGTGTCCCTATTTGGTTTGTGGGGATGGGTATATGAGACCTTCTTGTTTTGTGACTACATGCTCTTGTCAAGCGCATGTCTTCCTGAGAGGTATCCTTATACTCAAGCTTGGGGTTACTAACTTCAATGAGTCAGTTATTTGGGGGCAAGTGTTGAGGTCTATCATCCCATTTGTATCAGGGTTGCCTGACTTAGAAAAAAGAAGACTAACATTTTAATTGTCTGAAGGGTTTTGATAATAATGAGGCTTTCTTACCACTTACTATGTCTTGATGAAACTCTACGATCTGCTGTCTAGTAGCTGTGTTATACTGTTACACCTGGAAACCTTCATTTAAGACATTTGCTGTTTAACTAAAAGGAAATGACTTCATACATAAGAGAAGACAAAAATAATCACTGACTAGAATTCAACAGAAGAACTCTGAGTTCAGAGAAGCAGTCCCTAAGATGAGGAGCCCACTGGCACCCTGCACCATGAAGTAGAAGCCACTGCAGCTGGGTCCTTCGTTTTATTAGGAAAGATAGCCCATTTTGTGATCTGCAACGTTTAAATCAGTTGAACTATAGTGAAATCTCTCCCCTGAAATGGCTATTACACAGCTTGCAACCTTTTGTTCAAGAGATTAAGTTTGCATCTCCTCACATTATCTCCTTGTAATTGGAAAACTTTCATTTTGACGGAGAAAATGTGCCAGCATCCCCGAGAGCCTTGCCACAAGCCAATGCAGAGTGCCATCTGGAGGGTGCATGCCCACATCAGGCAGCAGACTCCTGGCGGGCTGTATCTGGAACTCTGCGATGAACAACTAATAACATCTTAAGCTCCATTTGTCTAGCTCGTGAGTGCTCTTGGCAGAGGTCATAACCAGCAGTGGTTTTCTTGATTTGCTGCATCAAATGTAATTAGGTTAAAGCACTCACTGACAGAGCCTCTGATAATGGCATAAAAGCCTCAGGCTTGAATTTACCCATCGAGTCAAATTTAAGTTTCGATCAACAAAGATGTATTAATTTCATCACCAGGACAGTGAAAAACTGATGAATTTTAAAGGTATTTATGTGGAGCAACACAGTTTTCCTTTCTTTGGATTTCATACTTCTTTGGCTTCTATTTTAAAATTGAGTTTAATCAACTTCTGTTCTGGTTCCTAGCTTCTAAAAGAGACACTGATGTCTCCTGCTAAGACACATGGTCCCTCATGTACTCAAACCATGCATCGCTCGTGAACCTTACCGTTGGTCACATTGTAGAAAATGAGGAGACATCTTCAGCATGTCACCTTCATGTAAATTAATTCTGCCAGTTGTCTACACATAAAGACAGAAATGACACCATGGTTGACCTTTTAACCTTTGCCTGCTGAAAAACTCCAGGATTAGCAGAGGCCTCTTCATAAATGAGTCAGTTCAAGGCCGTGAGTAAAATAGAGAACCATTGCTTAGGGTTAAATTTAGGGCAAGCTTGGGCCCAGAGCACAAGACAGACGTTAGCTTTTATGAAAAGCATACAAAAAGAGTGTGAGCTCTCTGCAGAAAATGAGGCTTAACAGTTTTCAGCACCAATGTTATAGAACAAGTACTAGAGAAAGAGAGAGCTGGGGTGTGGTCTTATCAGGAAGGCAAGGCTGTAAAGTTGTTGGTCTGCATAATAAGGCCTTTGAACATCAGCAGAGGAACTAAGGATGAGGGACAGGCAAAGCAACCACGGGAGAACAACACTTTTTCAAACTGACTTCGGCTTCTCCTGTCCCTGCTTCTTGGAAATACTGGCACTACTGAAGCTGGTGGAGAAATAGGCCTGCAATTTCTGGGGAACAGCAGTGATTCCTGTCGACTTTGTACCTCACTGGGGGATGTTGTGTTCGAGTGTTTCAGGTGGTTCTGCCTCTGATAAAAGCAATAGGCGTGTGTGAGAATGAGGTTAAGTAAGTGTTTATTTGAGGATTTAATATTGCACACGCCAACGGAGTACAGCAATTACCATGCTGTGAATTTCATATTCATGTGTGGCATATTTATTTGTTGTTTACCTCTCTGCATAATGGAAATGCCATGAAAATCTGTTCCTTCTACTGCTTTAATTTTAAATGAAGCTAAATGTTATGTATAATTTTAAGTTACAGACTGCTAATTTCATTCTGTTTTAAATACTCTACACATAAGAAGCTCTTATGGTCCTGCAAGAATCCACGCTTTGGACAAAATCAAAGCATAATCCTTTCAGTAATTGTGTAGTAGGTAGGTAGTTAATAGATTAAATTATGAACCTAATATCATCACATTGACAGTCTATTTCAAACTGTGTAGTTATCTGTACCATTCATACGTGTATGACTCTCTGTAAATAGATATGTATGCCTTTGTTACTTTCCTGCTAAATACCATATAGTTAAAAGACAAAAGCCCATAGCCTCTGGTGGTAAATTGTTTGTGTCTAGCTCACTTACAATAATCTGGTGATAGACTCAGTGCTCGGTGGAACGGTGATGAAAGCTTTGGGAACAGTACAGTTTTCACCTATTTCCATGATAGTATTTTAAAGAGCGAGGCAATGGCAGACCTCAAAGCTAGTTCACCTTCTGTAAATACAGTGGAACAAAGCAAGGAAAATGCCGGAAAGAAAAACATCTATAGCTCTTGTCTACGGCTTCCCGTCTCTAGTCTGGGAATCCATTCATGTGCCATGCCTCGACTTCTCTTTGCTGGCCCATCCCGCTCTTCTCTCCTCAACTCCAGAGCCATCTCAGGAACCAGGGATGTGTGCCACCCAAGATCTGCCCAATTATTACTTATTTAACAAGCATCACTGTGCACTGAGCATGTATATAGCTAAGGTCTCCACCCCTGGCTACAGCCTGCATGGGAACAGATCTAGACCACGCAGGTGAAAACACCCACTCAATAGCCCTGCAAGCCAGCACATACTTATGTGTTTAAAGGCAGAAATGGCCGAGAAGTTTCATTTTCTGAGAACTCTTAATGTAGTCTGCAAAGCTCGGAATGTAATGCGCCAGTTGTTCAATTTCCATTGTTATTTACCAAAGTGAAGCTTTGAATGAAGGGAGAATGTGCCATCTGCCTCCCCCTGTGATAATGCTTGGTTTTATTCCCAAGTACATCAACCACTGACTTGGCATTTCAACTAACCGAAGCACTTTTCTCATTAGACTGTGTCTGTGTCTACAAAAGACCATATTTTCCTGGTTGCTCATTTGAATATTCCTGTCCTCTCCGTCTTCCTTCACTGGATTTGAGACTTTCTATCCAAAAATATGGCCAGTTTGATATGGCCAGTTTTCTGGATACCTCATGGACAGGCTACACCTGATACAGCTCTTTTTCCAGTGACTTATTCAATCAACTCTTTTGTTTATTTTTATTTACTATGTATATTGCCTGTTTTCTGTGGACACAGGGCATATATAATTCTTTGAGAAGATATAATATAATGTGATACCCATCCTTAACTCAATTTCAGTTAAAAACAAAAACTGAGTATGGAGGTCTAAAAACAGTCTATTTTAAGTAGACATTTCTAAATGCCAGGGCATATAGATAACATATCTATTCATCCAGCCAATCACTTAATAAGCACTTATTGAGTGTTGTGATATGTTCAGCAGTCTAAGACTCATTGGAGATATAAACTTGAGAAAACCATGCATGGTGCCTGACCTGGATGAGTTTAGAGCAAGTGGGTACCGTGGCATAAGGACCTATCTGAAGAACGTGAGCATCACCTAGAAGCATAATAGTCATGTATGGTGTCTGATCCATCCAGCTTCAGTGAGAAGCAGCTGTGTTATAACAAGTTATTCCAGTGACTCAAAGTAAAGTTTGAAAAGTGCTGGTGGAACATGGAATGCTTGGTGGACAACACAGACAAATGGGGATCACCAAATTTTATTAAAAGGGGGAAGAAGGTGAATCTAGGCAAGCTAAAGATAAGAGCTGGATGGAACCTAAAATCTGATTCAGAATACAAGGTTTGGAGATCTAGCTGGGAATATTTCTTCAAAACTACCGCAGGGGCAGAAAGAAGGAGGCTGATGCATTGATGCATTGCAGGCAGAGGGGGAGCTGGTAGATATGGATGAAAGTCAAAGCTTGGAGGACAGGACACAGTGCAGGGTCCAGAGTAGAAGGAGCCATTGGTGGCAGTGGCGACACAGCAGCTGGAGGCCAGATTTTCTATCTCAGGCACGAGAAGGAAGGCCAACATTAACATTTTCCAGGTGATCTTTAAATGAAGAATCAGGGCTTAGCTTTTAAATTTTAAAATAATCATGAAAGTCCACAAGAAGATGCAAATCAAGTACAATTTTCTTATGTATACTGATTCTTCCCAAGCACATCTAATTTATGAGAACTTAGATCTGAGCAGAGAAAAAGAGCATTTCAGATGATCTGGACCAGTAATCTTGCTTCAAAATTCAAAACTGTTAATGTGGGGGAAAGTGCTTACATCTTAACCTACACAATTTTCTCTTTATAACCAAGGGCCAGCCCTAATAAAATATATAAAATGAAGCTTGCCTGTGGTCCCCATCCTGCTTCATAGTCTTTTCTGTATCCTTTGTTACATGCCAATGGTGTCTGTAGTTTTGCTGAATGTACCATTATGCTCTAAGCCAATAAAGGCAATCTTGAGTGACTGGTGACCTTCTCAAATGAATCTTTTTATGTCACTATGTCAAGTGGTTTCTGCTGTCTTATGAGGTCAGCCCTCCACACAAGGATTCTTCCATTCATACATTTGAAATAATTTGGGAGTCCAGTTCTGACAAACTCAGTCAGTGCTCACACAACCATAGGAAGTTTGCATTCCTCAGTAGGCCCTTAAGACGGTCTCAACAAATGATTTCATTCCCGAGATGCTTTTAAACACTGACCTCTATATTTCAGGTTTTCTGGACATCTGTTAGGGTGGCATTCAGTGTGCTTTCAACACATGACTTATCTGTATACAAACCTGAGTTGACAGGGAGAAGCCTGTGGCTTTCTAATAAACGACAGAGTTAATCAGCAAGACAGACCCTAGAGCGGTGTCTTGGGCAGTCGCCTTAAAAATATCAGAGAAAACCATCAGATAATTTCAGTGGGGGTATTCCACACTCAGCAACACAAAGATGGTGCTTTTCTATGAGTGGAGCATCTTGAAGCAATTCTATTGACAAACCCAGGATTTATCTATTTGTAAATAAGCATCATAGGAAACTGGGGAAGCAGGGGGACCATGTAGAGATTTGCAAGAGGCATCTGCTATCTGGAAGCAGAGACCATACAATTGAAAGGTGAGCTAGCTAATCAGAATGACATTTTCAAAACTGAATTATTTTACTATAATTTAGACAGACCATAATTTGGGATGAACTTTTTCTCCATAGTGACAGAAATATTCTCTCATACAATGAGTTATTAGCCAATCTAGAAACAAATAAATACAAAGTATTAAAGAGACAAAATTTTCTTTTATTTATATTTCTAGTTTTGTAGGAAAGGGTTTTTGCATCACAAATATTTAATCAAACTGCTGAATTCTGTATTTAAGTTGCAAATGGCCACAGCAATGTCTTTATGATTTCTCTTGAAAAACTCTGTACATCAAACATCAGAAAACATGCTCTCCAGGGAGCTTGTCCCAAACAAATATGGTTCATTGTTCTCTAGGTTTTATGTTTAGAGTTACTTAATGTAAACGCTATTTTCAGTCATTATTTTAGTGGCAATAGCTGAACTGTACGTGTGTACGTGCTATCACTAATCACTACCGACAACAGAAGTTCTAAAATTGATTTTTTTCAATGTATCTAAATGAGAATGTATAAATCAAGTAATTAGAAAGCAGAGATCAAGGAAGAATGTTTTTCGTTTTTCCCTAATGGGTGGCTGTCTTATAACCAGTTCATTAGGACCAATCAACAGCACTTCTGAAAACATGGGGTAGAGTGAAAATTACTCTTCTACCTTCAGCCAGTATCATACCTCCTCCTATGCACACTGAACATCTCTGGGCATGAAGAGTGTCAGCTCTGTATCTTGTCTCCTTCCTGCTAATGTTTTCTTTTCTTTCCCACCACATTTGAGCACCACCAGTGAGAAGGACTAGAAATAGCTTTCCCAGTGAGGGAAAAACAAACAAAAACCTGAGGACTGGTGGAATGGCGGGCCAGTGATTGGTCACTGGAGTCAAGCCCATGGAAGACAAGAACGTGGGAATGGAAGCGGTGTTGCTTAAATGCTTCTCAGTGGAAACAGTGTGGCCTCTGCCTGTTAACTTAGTATGACACAGTGAGTATAAAATAGTGGGGTCTGTTGGCTTAATTATTTATCCATGCTTCTTTTAGAAGTCAGGGGCATGAAGTGCTTCTGAACCTTCTGATTTAGATTCTGATTTAACAGAGTAGAGTGGAGCTTTGCATACCAGTCAATGAGCAAGCCATTGGCAATCCCAAGGTAAAGTCCTTTATGTTCAGGGCTTGAGCTGTGCTGGGCTCACACATTAGTGATGTTAGCAGCAAGCCATGAATTTCTCTAACATAGTGGTGCAAATTTTCTGGCTAATGAAACAGTTTGGATGCCCAGGACATCTTCCTATCTTTTTTTGTCTCTGATTGTCTGTAATACTTTAAATCCATTACATTTAGGTTTATGCAAGAAGCAAATTGTTTTGTTGTAACTACTCACATGTGCTCCTTTGGAGTATTCTTAGGAAGCAAGAAGATAAGTGTAATGGGCTTTCTTTGGGACCACCAACCAGCTCCCAAATCATGACATGAAGACATATTATTAGTTATGAATGCTCGGACTTAGCTTAGACTCATTTCTTGCTAGCTTTTATAACTTATATTAACCTGTTTCTCTTCATCTACACTTTGCCCCAGGACTTTTGCCTTTCTTTTATTCTGTATGTCTTACTCTGTGTCTGATGGCTGGTGGCTGCCTGACTGGCCCCAGGCATTTCCCTCTCTTTCTTTCTTTCTCATTCTCTCCTCTTCTCTCATTCTCTCCAAACCTAAATTCCTCCTCCTACTTATTCTCTCTGCCTGCCTGCCAGCACCACCTACCCCTTTACTGCTTAGCCATTGGCCATTCAGCTTTTTATTAGACCAATCAGGTATCCTTGGCAGGCAAGGTGAAACAGCAACACGTCTTTGCCTAGCTAAACAAATGCAGCATAAACAAATGTAACACATCTTTGCCTAGTTAAAGAAATATTCCACAACAGATAAGCCAGACAGACAATGCTCCAACACTGGGAGCCGAAATGGCTGGGAATACACTGTTGTAACATTTTGAGAGGGAGACAAGTGTGGATGAGACACTTTGCAGAAAGGCCGGCTGCAGAGGGACAGAGGGACATGCTTCTTTCATTCCTTGTGTGAGTTATTCATTTCAGCGTGTGTGTGTGTGTGTGTGTGTGTGTGTGTGTGTGTGTGTGTGTGTACGAGCATAGTCATATTTACAGTTAAGTGAAGAATTCTAAAGAACAATGGGTGGATTTTTTTCTTCATGGCTTCCCTGATCACATCAGTAGCTTAAGTAACCAATGACTCAGTGACACAACTGTGGAGAGTTAGATGTTCTTATAAAAACACACAGGCTGAGGTGAGAAGCATAGATTTCAGCTGTCTTTGGTGGACCTTTGTCACCTTAGACAAGGTTGCTTACACTTTCTGAGCCTGTCTTCTATCCCTAAAAGAGTTACAAGCTTTCCCACTCATACCATTGTAATTTATTTGAAGAACAAATTGGATTATGGAAATAGTCACAACTGCTTTATAGGTATTCTGTGGTTTTATCTCTCTAGTGTGGTTAATTAAATATAAAACCTAGTTGTATAGATTTATAATGTCATGGTGATCTATCTTGTAATGTTCAAAGCATTGTTACCAATTTTGTCTACACATATGCATATTATGTGTAGTACCTCAGGAAAAGAATTTTCTTAAGTGAATCTAGAAAGGAAAAACTATATTTTGAGAGTGGGCACTTGAAGCCAGGTATTCAGTAAGAGTACCATTATGTGTGATCTTATTAAATAGGCCATTGTTTACATTGATTCTTCCTGTTTGAAGTGGATTCAAAGACTTCCTCATGGCATTAGATGCATGTCCCACTAACATGGGGTATAAAGCAAATTGAGATACACAATGTTTTCTACTCCTCAGTTGTGAAAGCTCTTTGTCTATTGAGCTGTGGTACATTAGATAAGCCCACTCAGTCCACTCAAATTTCATCTCTCTCTCTCTCTCTCTCTCTCTCTCACACACACACACACACACACACACACACAAATGAGGCACTAATGTTGAATGGTTTCTAAGGGCATAGTTTGGCTGTGTGAAGACTGTGTGGGTCTAGGAGTGTTCCATAAGTGAATGAGTCTGGGCTTTCCACAAGAAAGGTACCAGCTTTAGATATCTAAGATAACTCTTGACTTCTCAAGCCGTTACTCTTTGTGTGTGTGTATGCAGGATCACTCACGTGTCCTGTCCGTGTCTGAGTACCATTTTACATGAACATATGTGCATATGTGTGTGCTTCTATGTAGATGCCAGAGATCGATGTTGCATGTCTTCCTCAATCACTTTCCACACTATGTTCTTAAATTATTTTCTTATTGTATTTATTTGAATTTATATTGTATTTATTCATTGTGTGTGTGTGTGTGTGTGTGTGTGTGTGTGTGTGTGTGTGTGTGTGCACATGCTTATGCCATAGGGTGTATGTAGAGGCCAGAGGACAGTTATGGGGCATCAGTTCTCTCCTTCTACTCTGTGGATTCTGGGAGTCAAACTCAGTATCAGGTGTGGCAGGAAGGGGCTTTTTGCCTACTGAGCCATCTCACTAGCACTCCTCGTCCACACACACCTTATTTTTGTGAAATAAGGTTTTCCTGTGAATCTGGAGCTCACCAATCACCAAGGCTTGCTGTCTAGTGAACTGTAGAGAACTCTTTGTGTAAGCCTGGCACATCATGGAGAGTCAATCAATATTTGTGGGTGGAGAGATGGATGGATTCATTTATCTCCAGAGTGCAGTCTTCTTTGAAATAGCTCCACTAGGAGTTCATTGTTGTATCCACCGTCCCTGTAACATAACCAATAGTGGACCAAAATGGAGGGTCCCCAGACAATTAAAAGTAGACCTACTTACTACATGATCCAACAATCCCTTTCCTGGATATACAGCTAAAGGAAACAAAATCGTGTGTCAGAGACATATCTGCAACACAGTGTCCACTGCAGTTCTACTTACAATAGCCAAGACAGAAACAACTTCAGTGTCTACCAACTGATGAATAGATAGAGACAATGCAGTACTTACATGCAATGGAAAACTATTCAGTCATTTAAAGAGGTTAAATTTCATCAGTTGCCACAACACAGATGGTGACAGAGTTCACTATGCTAAGTGAAGTAAGCCCAGCCAGAGAGACAGGATCCCCCTGGTCTCACTAGGTTCCCCTGGTCTCGTCAGTATGTCAAATCTATTACAGCCAGTCTCAGAAACTGAGAAATAGAATAGTGTTAGCAGAGGCTATAAAGAACAGTGTGGAGGGAGATGAGAGGGTTGATCAGCAGGTACTGAATTGCAGTTAGAGAGGAATGAAAAGTGTAGGTGACTTTAGATTAAAAATGGCCTGCATACTTAGAAATACTGTAAAGCAATGATAAATAATTGAAAAGGAACATTTAACCAGATTCAAACATTATATAATATATACATGCATTAAAGTATTACATTGCCCTATTAATGCATATCATTTTAGTGTTTGTGTGTATCTGTTGAAAATAAATTTAAATGAAAATGTAAAGTGAATAATTCTAGGGCTGGGGATGTAGTACAGTTGGTACAGTGATTTGCTAACATTTATGCAACCTGTCCCAAGCACCACTTAACCTAGGTGTGTTGGCATAGGACCATAATCCCAACACTCAGGAAGTAGAGGAGGCGTGATCACAGTTCAAGATCATCCTTAGCTAGCTAGAGAGGGATACATGAAACCCTATTTCAAAACCAAAAACACAGTATTGCTAATGCTAAGAAAGAATATAAGAAATGGCTAAGATGATAAAAACTTTGCTTGATATGTATCAGAGTATTTACATTTTATTTATATGTGACATTAGTAGTCTACCTGATGAAGACTAGGGCTTTACTAATATGTTGTTTATGTGCTTAGTTTTTTAGCACCGTTTGATAGACACTTTGTACTTGAGTAGATAGCAGTATCTCGTTTACACAATGCAAATAAACTTGCCTATTTCTGGCATGGATTTTCCTACAACAGAAGGATTTTTACCCCCTTTAAATGCAAATTTTAAATGCTGCATGTCAAAAGTACTAAACTTCCAAGTGCCCCAGTGCCACAGGAGATCACTGCCTGTTTGTTCTCCCACGCCTCACTTGCATGGTTTCCCATAACATAAAAATGTCTGAAATTTTTGTCTTATCCCTGTGAACTGTGTATAAATACTTCTGGCTTTCATATCCATTCAAGTTAGAGTCAATCTGGGTTCTATTTTTCTCAGCTTTAAATTAGAAAGTTGGACCATTCCGTGTAAGACCATATGCAATGGGCATCATGGAGGAACCCCCTTTCCCAGCTAAGTAAGCACTTGCACATTAGAAGAAAATTTCAATTGATTTGGAAAACAGGATCATGAGTGTCAGTAAACAATGGAAGCCACTACTTCCAATTGTGGGAGTCTCTAAGACAGTTTCTCAGAAATATAGTCTGTCCCTATTTTATCTACAGTGCGATTAATTTCCCTTGGGAACGCTAATTTCCTCTATGTACTAACATAAATTTTCTTCACTGAACTCATCATTTTGGTGGGGCATATGAATGAGGATCTGGTGAGGGCAAGGTTCTAATCACTATGATGATATGTGCCTAGTGGATTTAGTAACCACTCTTGGCAATAGAGCAAAGCCCGGGTGACCTTGCTGGTTAGTTTACAATCAGCCAGTTGAGCAAATCAAACTCAGGAAGACACTAATGTTTGGTGGCATGGTAGAGTGGACAGCATAGAAAGAACATTGCTGCTGCATGCCTACAAAACATTTGTCTGCCATGGCTTCTGCAGGCCTGGGCTTTCTTAAACACCCTCTCTTTGCTGCAGGGGAACTACATGCATTCTGAATGTATTTCTGTGATAACTTTATTTTGACAATTCTCAAACGGCAACATGTTGCACACTAATTGACTACAACTGGTTTTGAATCATCTTTAAAAAGGTGTAAATTATTGTCTCAAAGTGACCCAATAGAGGTGTAAATGAACGTTAACATAACATCTCTAGAATGGCTCTATTTTAAATACATAGATATGAATTCAGTTGGTCTGCTTCTTTTTTTTTTTTGGTTGGAGGTTTACTGCTTTAAAATGGGAAACAAATGTGTGAATTCTATCAAGGGTGTGAAACTCTCCATTTGTACAGACTGGAAGATTTGGTAATAAGGAGAGAGATAGCAGAAATTATTCAAAAGTTTAACAACATTTTAGTTTTAAATTCAAGTATTTCAGGGAAGGGTTTAGAGTCTGCTTGGAGAGCAGTCTTTGCTATTAAAGAGTTAGAGATTTCTAAAAAGCCCATAATTGCTAATTTTCTTATAGTTTTAGAATTGGAAATTGCATTGACTAATCCTTTCTGTTTCTAAAGATGATTACTTTACTCAAAGTTCGTGAATCTGATAAACCCATGAGCCTCAACTTAACCCTGCCTAAATGAAACTTAACCTCTTATCTCTTCTCACATCGGTGGACAATGGGCCTCAGCTGCAGGAGCACTTGAGCCTTGTGCCCAGTGTCCAGGCCAGCTGGAGGGCCAGGATCCTTGCTTCCCAGCCAAATAGACACTTGGCATGGTTGTACTCCAGGGCAGAGGTTTAACATGCTTCAAATGAGGCTTGGCTTTTGAAGCGTCTATCCCTTAGGTTGGTGTCGCTGGAAGTCCAAGACCCCCCCTTTCATTAACTGGCCTCTCACATGGATAGCAATGAGGACAGAAAACAGCTGACCACTGAAACAGTTGGTTCTTTTTTATTATTTGTAATTTTGTCTATTTGCATGAAAGCCTGGCAGCATATGGCCTGATGAATTAAAAAAAAACAAAGGCCCTGTAAATGCTTATCTACTGGACAGAGCCTCCAGCTCACTCATGCTATTAGCTGTGGCTAGTGCATCTCTACCTGCCACTTTTTGGGGGATGGGGGCCTAAACTGGTGACTGACTCAGTCTCTGTAGTATAATTGTGTTGAGTTAATGTCACTGTTTAATTCCTCACAGTACTGTCAGAAGTGGCAAAAAGTGGCAACATCTACTGTTTCCATAGTAAATGTGATTGGCAAGCTACCCACTGTCTGCCTTATCTAATATTCTACAGTAATTGTGTCTGATCAGACCAACAGGAATAGAAAGCAAGAGATCTGAAGTGCTTCTCTTCCCATTCACTCAGGCCAACAATGAAGAGAAATTCAGAGGGATGTACACTCACATTATCTTTCCAGACTAAAATTGAGTAGCTGTGATCTGAGATAGAAATAAGCCACTGTGTGAGGCATTTATTAATTATATGCTTGCTTTTTTTTTTCATTTGCGGTGTTTATAGGGTTTCATTTTTATTGTTATTATTAATATTGTTATTATTATTATTTTACTTCCTAATTAGACATCTTCTCTAACCACCAACCTGGGAAAAGGGAATTTATTTCCTGTTTGAGAACTAGAATTGCCCCAAAGAAACTAGAATAATTTGGGGTAATATTTTATAGCCAAACTGAATTACAAGCCTTTTTTTCTCTGTTTTGTTTGTTTTATATATGATTCTATTTACCAACATGCCATCTAAACAGAAACGGAAATGCTGTACAGGGTTTTATTGCATGGGTTAGAATAACTGTAAAAAAACCAAGCACTGGCATATGTAGAAGGCAGGATGTCAATAGAAAGTGGAGGGAACACATGAGCTTGTGATGGTTTCTAGGCCAGAAGGGGGAGTTTTTGGTGTAGCTGGGGTGCTTCAGGGGTTACCCATGCTCCGGTAAGTTTGTAAACCGATGTGTCTTCGTCCACAATCAAGGCCAACAAACTCATTGGGTTGCCTGGTTGGACTTTGGTCTGTCCTTGGTCTGTGGTGAGAGGTATTTGTTTGCATCTTCCCTGAAAAAGTTCAGAAAACAGATCTTATTATAGCTGAGAATAAAGAACTAAACTTTTCAAAATTGCAGTATTGTTTCCAGATGGGGTGATTCGGTTTACAGTGAACTAGGTGGGGAGTTTTTAACTTCCACTCAGAAATGAATGTAAATAACTAAAGCTTACATGACAAAAAATGCTCAAAGATAGAGAAGAGCCAGATCTAGGTGTGGGACTTGTGTCAGGATGTAAGATACGTTTTGAGGTACTTTGATTTATTCCTTCCTAAGGGAAAAAAAGAGATCTCGCAGAGAAGTTTTAAACTGATACTAATCAAACTCTGTTACTTCTTGTGGGACTCATGAAAATTAGACTAAAGATAACATTCAAAATGTACATCAAAAATATATCCACATGTACAAACAAGTTAGAAAGCGCTTACCTTGCTAGATAAAGTGGCCGCAAGCAGTGTATAGTGAATCAGGCCGTATGTGCAAATTTATAATACCCAAAGCTGAAATGAGAGTAGCTATGTCTTCATCTAGTCTGACTAGATGAAACTTTTTAATAAGCACTACAAATTCTTTCCTAAGTTTCAAATTAATTCCCTGCAATACACGTGCTTTAGGGCTCGAGTCTTGACAAACTGAAACCCATACATTAGACTACATCCATTCATGTTTTCTCAGGAATACCATGCTCACTAGGTAGGGTACTGAAGCCTAAGCTAAGTGCCCCAAATCCTGACTGTCAACAAGATTGGCACATAGAATTTTGGAATTGAATGAGCCTTTTAACTCATTAAGCTCAGCCTGTTTTTCTCATCCGAATAAAATAAATGACACTCCTCTCTTCTCCTTCATCTAATTAGCAAGCACAAGTAAGAACCAAAGAATGTCCCCACCTTTTCCTGGCCCAGGGTATTTTTGAAGTCTCCAGGCCGAAAAATGAGTTATCTTTCATAGTTAAAACCATGCTTTCATTAAAATGTCCATTTTGTTGTGGGCGGTACAAATGATGATTCCTGGATGACTGACAGAAGGTTCTCAGAAAAGATTTGTAAGTTGAAAAATAGGTTTTGAAAAGTGACTAGAAAGAAAACCAGTCAGAGGTTCCACTGCAGGTGCAACTCAGTGAAAAAGTTCATCAGCCCAACTTTGCCCTGCTGCTGACTTCTCGGTTTGAGTATGAGGTGACCTGACCCGAGCTGTGCTTAATTGCCTGCTTTACAGGAAATCACCTCCTAACTGCTGGTGCTTTCTCTTCAGCCAACACCCAAAGCCACCACCAGGGTCATGGGGATGAGACTTCACAAGGTAAGTGAAAAGAAAACAGAACGGAAGGTATCTTCAAGTGGGATCTGGTGAAGGCATTGGCTCACAGATAGGAAGAGCCTTCAGGGGCCCTTCTGTGGGGTGTGGAGGGAACATACAGGCCTGGCTTATGTGGTATCACATAGGTTGTGAGTGACATGAGGCAGATCTGGGGTTCCCAAGTGTCCTGTGTGAGATGGAAGCAGGTTCTGTTGTCTAGACTGGAAGAAGTGCTCTGGGTTTGGAAGGAAAGTTGTCAACTCAAGAAGCAGAAACTAGAAGTTTTGAGACAAGTTTGCATGGCCACCACAAACACAAACTCCTTCTCTACTTACTCACCATGGACATATTTATTGCTTTAAATTGCTTTATAACAATTACGGTTGAAGATGAACCGTTTAGCAAGAAGGCTTACAAAAGCAATGCCCATTTAGTAGGAGTGTGCATAGGATTGTGACATTTTGCATTTCTTAGCATAGTGACCTGTAGCAGGATGCTCATGGTGCTGGCAGTGGCTGGAGCTACAGTGAATATCTAGCCATGAGATGAAGAGGGTGAGTGATGCTCTGGTCCAAACAAAGCACTATGTTGTTAAGCTGAGGTGTTTGGAGGGGCAGGTGTACAAACTAAATACATTTTCAATCACATGCAATAAGATGAGAGGCTTCTAATATATTTTTGTATGTATTGTATATATATATATGTCATTGTATATAAATATGTCAAATATATTCAATATTTTTAGGTTTTTGATCTTATAATTATATCACTTACCACTCCCTTTCCTTTCTCCATAAATATATTCAATTTTTTGAACATCACCCATGAGGAACTAACTCCATTGCAAACTGAGGAACATAATAAGTATTTGCAAGACCATTTCCATCTAACATAAACCTAGGAAATTTTGTCTTACTGATTTATGTTGGGCCTTTCAGCAACTTATTCTGTCGAATAGCTTTGTATTGACCAAACTAATCTGAAGTTCCTGTTTTAGCCCCAGCAATTATTATTCCAGAGCTTACTGGATTTGAGATTATACTAGAATTTCTCAGCCTGTGAAACTGTCCTGTTTTCTGCCAGTGGGCCTAATATCTAGGTACACTGGGCTTGAAAACCACAGCAGACGCTGGGGAATATTTGTGTTCAGACAACTTTTGTAACGTTATTCTCTTCATACCATTTCAAGGTACGAGGAGATTTTCAAAAGCAAACTGAAATGGCTGGCGGACAGCTTTGTAGATGTTCCAACCCAGCTGAGCATAGACACTTGGCCTGTTTTCATAGAGAGAATGTTGATGAGTGACAGCACCTTTGGGAGACTGTCCTAGCAATAGTGAATGTTGCTGTAGCATTTTCTAAAGCACTTAACAAGCTGCATCACCTGACCCCTGGCCAACATGTGATTGACACCCTTTTCAGCCTCTATCTCATGGCACACCAATCGCAATGGCATTCCCACTCATTATTAATCACCGTACAGATTCTCTCTCCTCAAAACTGTATTGTTAATCCTTTAAAACTCCTCATGGTTTACTTCTCAATTTTTTTTCGGGCTTCTGATCACATATTTTCTCAAACACAACTTTCTTTATCACACCATCTAAAGTAACAAATTTCCTGTAACTTACCCTCCTCTCATTTAGCTTCATAAAAATATAACATCCTGTTGCATATTAAAGTATTGCCTGTCTGTTCCACTAAAATCTAAGAATACAGGGACTTTGTGCTGCTCTAAAGTTAAACAGGCAAGAATAGAATGTTAAACAAGGAGCTGTTGCATGGTTTTTAGTAGCAAATGAACAGCAGCAACAACAAAAACAAAGTGAAACAAACAAAAACAAAAACAGGAAGAAAGAAGGAAAGAAGGGAGAAAGAAAAAAAGAAAGAAAGAAAAGAGAGAAATAAAGGAGAGAGAGAGAGGAAAGAAAGGAAGGAAGAAAGAAAGAAAGAGAGAGAGAAAGAAAGAAAGAAAAGAAAAGAAAGGCCAATATTAACTATACAAGGTTACTTGGGTGAAGTTTGTCTACCAATGACATGAACATATGCAGCTGAGGAGGAGGTGATGGCTCTCTATTTCTTGAGTATCTCCAAAGCTTAGTATGGAAGAATCATGAATGCAGAAGTGGATATAAAAAGTCTGGTCAATGCACAACTTTATAGTAACATCAGTCTGACATTTCTCCATCTCTACTGTTTGTGTGACTTGGTGTTCGGCTCTGACCTACTGAGCTTTGGTTCACTATTAATTTCTCTCTGGAGTTTCATGTGAATCCTCTGGCATGCTAAAGCACAGGTTCCTGATAGTGTGCTCACTTCTTGTCTGTTTATCATTTGTAATCTCTCTGAAAGTCCCTGGGGTGGGGGGAAGACTTTTGTTGTTTACTGATCAACTTTATTCTTACTATAATGTCATGAGTCCTTAATGCTCTTACAGCCATCACCTGCTCTTTCGGGGCATTTGAGACTACCAAAGTCATTCTACCCTTGGGAGTCTTGAGCCAGGGAAGTGTGCCTGAGAGGAAGATGGCATTGAGTCAGTGGTACTGTGCTCCACAAACTTAAAAAGGAAAGTGGCACTGTCTTAACATGTGAAAAGATACAGGCAAAATAAGTGATTTGAGTAATTAAGAATATAATATATAGCAGAAAACCCATATTTCATGGTAAGAGTGTCCCTTTTATCATAGTTTTCGCTGACTTGAATTTTCACATTCATTAGTCTTGGGTATATTTTGCATCAGCTCTTCGTCATTGACATTGGATGATGATTTTTAACAGACATGTACACTTTAAACAGAGCAGTTTAGAGAGCTACTTTTACCTTTAAGTTTCCTAAAAGTGTGATTTGAGAAGATACACTTTGTTTTGCTACAATGCAGGTAGGTGTTATAGGATTTCCAGCTTGTTACTTTTTAAAAGATGAATATCTATGGCATAACTTGGAAAAAATATAGTAAAATAGAGCCATTCATATCATGATCCATTTGGGGCATTATAAAATTAGTTTAGCATTTTTTTTTTTTCTAGAGGAGAAAAAGTTGTTTGAGCCCCGGAATTTGTACAAAATAAATTCGGAGTTCATTTTCTGAGATTTAGGTTTTCTTTTTAAAAATAATTTCCCCATCAAAATAATTATGAATCCAAATTTTATAATTTTTTAAAAAATATGCATAATATGCCCGAGAAAAATGGGAGCGGGGATCACAAATTAAAGCAACAAAAGAATTTTGCATTTCTAGCATGCGCATGTCGTCAGGCAGCCCCGAATTGTAATTGTAATTGTTTCCTTTCGTGATAAGTACTGGGCTTTGAGAATCGTTTATCTAGAGGAGAAGTCTTTTCGTTACTCGAACTGGGGTAGCTCAAGATATGTGAACAGAGGAATTCCCCTTCTTCATGGTCCTTTCATTTGTTTTCAGTTGGATTGAAAGGAGCAGACAGCATCAGGTCATGGGGGCCCTTCCACAGGCTGGTGCAGGGCCTTAGGTCCTCTGCCTACAGAATGGCTGTGTTGTACGCATTCAGACTTCGACTTCTGAAATCATGTCAGCATGCTGAAAACCTGCAGTATCAGACTCGAGGGGAAAGCTTGCGTCTGTTAAGCAGAGGCGAAACTTGCTTTCATTATGAATTTGTGATTGTAATTTGCGTGTGTTCTGAAAAAGTCAGGACAGGTATTAGACGTCAACTCTGTAACTTTTGAAGAGACGTGGTTTTTTTTTTTTTTAAGCTAATTAATTAAAACATTTAGAGTCTAGGGTTTTGCTTCAATAACCTAGTATTTTTTGCTTAATAGCAGAATCTAATATGTTTACTCTTTTATAAATCTTCAAACTTTAATCAATCTTATTAGTAGAGAAAATTAGTGTTAGGAAAATGGATTGAGCAACCACGATGACCTTTCATGATGTACGCCTCTGGTCACCGCTAGAGAACCTTTCAGTAATTGAAATGAAGAGTATAGAAGGCCCTTCCTTGTCCTGTGTGTAAGTGTTCCTGCACCACAGTGTGCTGGGAGGCTCAGTGATGGACAGCTGATTGAGATGATGCTTTTTATAAATGTTGTTAACCTACCAACCTTGTACCTGTAGAGATTCATTATATTCTATTCACATGATAAAATTCCATGAATGTGAATTCTTTTCAAGTTGGCTTTATCAAATACTGAAGAGAATGGGTTTCTCTGTGAACTGTGCATGTGTACTGATGGTATCTGCTATTTGGTAAATATAAGAAGGTGCCAAGAGAATTATAACAGGAGGGAAGGGCAGTTTCACTGAGAGGGTTCACTAAGTGCTTTCAGTTATGAAAATCATCACCAATCTCGAAGTTTAAGAAAAACTTGCATGTTACTAGAAACATTCTTTACACTTCAGTGTGGAAATCTTTCAAAACTAAGTATTTAAAAATGTATACCTTCAAACCTACTGTGTGTAGGAAACCATTTGCTGTTTTATTGTATGACCCATATATTCATTATCTAACATGATAAAATACTTTGAAAAACATTTCATTTCTCTACCATCATTTCACCCCAATTTCTTTTGCATTTTTCTATCTCTATCAACTTTCAAACGTCCTCTTTACTAAATGTAAGCATGTAATATCCCAACAGAAATTTAAAAATTGGGTTTATATACAGTTTCTGATCACTACAGCAATATGTGTTAATATTTTGTGTAGAAAATGCAAAGAAAGTATTCCTACACATTTTTAAAGACAGTTGCTTTGTGGAGGCTAAGCTTATAGAATGCAGAGCTATAGACGACACATGTTTTATTACTTATAAACTGTGATCAACGTGAAGAACTTGATGAGTGAATAATTCTGGTGCTATGAAAAGAGGAGACATAGTCTTCCATAAGCAGCATCTGCATGGACAGCGCATTTCTAATTCCCCTTGGTTCCTCAGCCACTAAAATGACCTACCTGTAGTTAAACCTTGGATTTTGCCCAGGAAGTGCAAGATCCGAGTGACTTAAGGGTCAGAATTTTAAGTT